CACAACTTCCCAAAATGTGGATTATGTTCTTCTTGAGCTCATAGACAGCCTCGCTGTAGCCTGCATTGACTGGTGCCATCGGTGGGTTTCCATTCCAGAGTCCAGGAATGTACCAGCTTCCAGTGTCTGGACTGTACTCCATCACATCAGTGAAGCTCGAGTACTTTTCTTTCTTTTCCATTTTGGCTGCTGCCTGGGTCATCTCGTTTAACTGCTGCAGGAGCAGTTTCCTGTCTCGCATGTTCTTATCATGGGCTGAAACATCGGACACATTCTGGTGAACAAACTGACATTTGGGCTTCTTTTTCCCCACCTCTTTCATCCTGAGGAAAGTGTGTACAACTATCTGTAGGATGTCCTTCATATATGTTGAATTGCATATGCAACATTGATGATGGTGATATCACTCAGCCCCACAACAAGTGTTGCAAGCTCATTGTCGTGCTCGTGGCTATTGTCCAGTTGTGCGAGTTCTGGTGACTTTAAGCCCTCAGTGTCAATGATCACCATGAAGTCACAGTTGAGGTCTTTTCTGACATCTTCATTGATTTGAATCAGCAACATAAAGGCACCTCGAGTGCATCGACCACTGCTGACTGCAAACTGCACTCCAAACATGGTGTTGAGGAGAGTGGACTTTCCTGTGTTCTGAACTCCAAGAACTGTGACTACCAGGATCTTGTTCTTAGGAGACACCAAGTCATTGAGCTGAGAGAGAACGTCACTCACCCATCTGAGAGGTATGTTGGATGCTTCTCCATCTACAAGCTCAAGTGGAAATCCAGCAAGCATTAATTCTGCACATAGCTTGGGGAGATGCTGTAGTTGTTGACGTGCTGGGTCTGTTTCAGGAAGGGAAAGGGAAGCTTCATAGATCTGTCCCATTTCACGGAAGAAGTGTTCAGTCCCTAATGAGCTGTTGGAAAGTTGTTCCTCAATCTCCTTGATCTCCTTTTTGTTCTCAGAGTTTCTGCATTTTTCTTTGTACTGCTCCCTGAGGTCAAAGAGTTTTTCCCGAGACACGTTATCGAGGTTCATTCGCATCCATTTCAGGAAATAGCACCTCTCTATCCCTGGGCTTGATATTGCATTGATGAAACATGTCATTGCCTTTGACAAGTCCTGAGAGTTCTGTTTTCTCCGAAGTTCTATTTTCTTTAGATGAAGATTGCTTTTGTACTCTTCTATATTTTCAGACCCAACTTTCCGAAGTCGCAATTCTTCCTTCTCTAAGCGAGTGAGGTCTTTCCATATGTGTCCTTGCAAGGGAAGCTGAGCTTCTTTGTATTCAAGAATGTCATGAATTTCTGCAGTGATGGCATCTGCGTTTTCCTTCGCAGTCTGGCAGTCTGGAGAGTCTTCATCAACAGAGATTCCATGTTCATGGGCAACGTCAGCCATCTTCTCAATTCCCATCTTCACCTTTGTGTTTTCAAATGCATTGCTGACTTTTTCCCGCAAATCTTTGACAAAGTTTGCATCATTTATGTGCTTATCTTTCAAAAGGATGTTGCTCTTGGTTAAGCTCAACTTGGTTGCTACCTTTTTTACAGCATCTGATTTGAAATCTTTGCTTTGACGGTTACCCACCAAGAAGATCTGTGCCTTGTGTTGTTGGTTGGTTAGCAGCTCACACTCAGAGTCCAAAGCGTCAAAGAAAACAAAAACTGCTGCAGATGTCTGACACAAGAAAGAAAATTGTGTTTGAGATGAAGCAATGTCCCCACGAAGGTTAGCTACAGCGACTGGCTCGCTGAAGACGTCCATGTTTTTGTTCCCACAAGGAAGGTACCAAGTCATTTCCACCAATCCATTGGATATTCTCCTTGGACTGTCACCACCCTCCATGTTACGGTGAACAAAGGTGTCATGGTTCTGCTGAGAGTTGCTCAGAAGCTTATTGAGGATCTCTGACTTGGACAAGGAGCACTCACCCAGTCTCACAAAAGATATCATTGGAAGTTCAGAGACAACAATTCTCTCTTCAATAAATCCCTTGGATTCTGAAAGTGACGGAGGTCTGTACTTTTTAACAATGTCTCTCATGGCCCAAAGCATGAGTGTGCACTGCTTTGTGTCACAGTTGGGAAGCAACAGAGGCACGGAAAACTGACACATGGACATTTTGAGGGCCATTTCCTGCTGTACAAAACCATCAGAGCACAGGAAGAGAGCAGTGATTATGTCAAGGGGATTCAGTGTTTCACCTGAATGTGTTTTTTCGTCTAAGTCATCAAGACCATCTGTGTGATCCTCACAGTTGGACTTGTGTGCAGGTGTATATTTCACATTCCTAGCTGTCACATTAACCATCATTAGTTTCTTCAGAAAATACCATGGAAGATCTGGATTACATTTGGCAGGTTCATCTGTAAAGGTCTTCTGGTCAATCCTCAGAAGTGTGCTTAGGGACAGCTTCTCTCTGTAGTGGTGGTCCAACCCCAGTTCCTCCAAAAGCCTCTCTAGCTGCTTCTCTGTAGAAAATAAAAACAATACATATAAAAGCCTTAATTGATTATTAAACATTCATAAGCATGGATCAACATTTATTATAACATTTTTCCTTTCCTATAGTTTATTAAACTACAACTATGATGGGCAGTCAATTATTAAACAGCTGGTCTAATAGATGGATCCAGATCCTTCAACGATACTAGAATCAAATTAACAGATATACAAATCTAATTGTCAGATTGCAATGGAATTGTCAGTGAAAGGATTTGAAAGAAGAGATTGAGACATCATTTGCATCAAATTACAGCAGGTTTATAAAAATGCAATACACTGTTTGACGTTGGCAGTGATAGGTGAACATTGAAAGAAACTATCGTTCATGTCTGTCATGATCAATCATATCTAAGATATATATTATGCATGGTTTAAGGAAACATCCACTTGAAAAGGAAAACATATACACTTGTTTGCAATGTTACTGTGCAATAGTCATTTTATGTAAAAGCACATTTTTTTTATAAATGTCTCAGCATTTAATTGTTATAAGGTCTCAATACTTTAATATATATATATATATAAAATATAATATTTTGTTGCCATGTATTGGTTGCCTTTTTTACCTGCTACTGTATGCCACTTTTGCTGTAACACTGTACATTTCCCCGCAGTGGGACTAATAAAGGAATTCTGATTTTGATTCTGATAAGTACGCATACAGAAAATGTGTGAGCCAGATTAGCAGTAAGCATCATGTGTGCTATACTGGCAGTAATATATATATGACAGCTTCATTAACATGAAGAAAGGCTGTTGCTGAGAAAGTTGCATTTGCTTGAAAAACAAGAAGCTAACCTTGAAGCAATAAAAACTAATCTTAGAGCGGTAATGGAAAAGCTTGAGCTTCAAACTGATACAATAACAACCATGGAAGCCCTGGAGTATGGTGGAGGATGATAATATATTTGCTGTGGTGGAGCAATACTGTACTGGTCAACCAGATGAAAATGCTGATGTTCATAATGAAGGAACAAGAAAAAAACCATAAAGCCAAACTCCAGCCAAGTCACAATCGAATAGCAAAGAAAGAGTGACTCGATTTAAGTAATGCAGCACCAAATCAAAATCACTGAAATGCTGACAAAGGAGCAACGCTTAACATTACATCCATCCAGAGAAATACCCATCTTTAAAGAATATAAATTAGAGTACCTTCCATTGATTGAGATGTTTGTCCAAGCTAAAGACTTGGTGGGAAGGTTTCAATAAATGAATTCTAAAAAGGACGAGAAAGCCAAGAGATTGCTCGAAGAGAACTATGGAAATGAACTCTTTTGCAGCAGCTTGTTTGGAGAAAGGTCAAATTGGAATGCCATTAACAGTGAAGATAGAAAAGCACTGCTCAATTACACTATTTTTCTTTAAGGATATTTTAACTCAATGGAAAATATTGATACCTTCCTTTAAACTCAGGGAAAAGTGTAGAACTGCAAATTCATAGATTCAAACAAAATAAAAAATTCAATGTTTCTAGTTTTGGTTGATTTCATCAAAAGACATGCACTGATGGTTTTAAAGAAAGTAGTTTTGCAACAGAAAGTGCAGGTGCACGCATAGAAATGCAAAAGAGCAAAACATGTCAGATTTCCAAAAGACAGAGTTACGCCAGAGCTACCACCATACATGTCAGAGTCAATGACTTTGGCCAACTTGACAACACTTGATGATGAAAGCCCTTCAACAGTTATGTGCGTGTCAAAATGATCAACAGCCGACACACATAACTACAGTGCCAAATGTTCCAAATGACTTTGAACCTCTATCACTCGACCACTTGCTCCAGCTCAAGGTCAAACCAATGTTACCACCAGGTTAAATCCATCTGCAATATTCAGAGCCAAAACACTGTTGGCAGCAAGTGAAATGCATAACGGAGTTCTGGAGCAGATGGATCTACGACTTTGCAAGAAAGACCAGAATGGAATTGCATTCAAAGAAACCATATACCTGGACATACATGTATTGATCATAAACTGAAATGCACTTCATTGATCCTGGTTAATGGCAAAAGTTCTGGAGACACCACCCAGATCAAGAAGTCTGATTCTTTTTATGACCGAAACAAACATGCTGGAAAGACCAGTAAGCTAAGTTATCTCTCTGGTGCCAGTCTCAGAATAAGGCAAATTAACATTCACAATTAGAATGTAGTTTTCAAAGGCTGAACCTTTTTTATCCGGCTAACTTTTATTAAAGATTCCCATTACAATTTGTTTTGTGCAGAATGCCAAAATAATATTTTCACCCAGTGGCGACCTCTAGAGTCAATTAAAAAGAAAGACTACAATTCCCTAGCACAAGCTTATGGAGATACACATTTATGGGCTGATGTGGCAGAGTTCTAAACCGCTCAATTATTTAACGTTATCATCTTACAGTAAGTACATCTTTTAGTTTTGTTTTGCCTCTTTTGTTTTTATAGTAAACCATGCAATAACGATTATATTTGACTGACCTTTGGGGGCAGATGGTGCAGTTGGCTTTCCAACCTCACTGCACCACGTTGCATTGTTACTCTCCACTTCATCAAGTTCAGCAGCAGGTGGCTCAGGATGCAGAGGCTCTAACTCCCTGCTGAGCTGATAGACTTTATTCTGAACAGGAGTGCTGGGCTCTGAGGGGAAAAACAGAAAGCTTTCAGTAAAACTTAAAAAATGAATGTTTGTCAGCATTTTAAAGTGCTGTTTGACTGACAAGGAAAGGCCAAAAAACAAGCCATATATATTTATCCAAAAGATCCAGAAACAGGTGGCATTGATTACATTTTCAGATTTACCTGTGAAGACAGATAGCGAGGTTGCTTCGCTTTGATTTCCATTGTCTGCAATCTTTTTGAAACTGATGGTACACTCAGTCCCGTGAATCAGTGCCTTAACCGTGACAGTTTCTGCGTTATCAACAGTCAAACTGCCGCTGTTTGTTTCACAGCCAGAGTAATCTAACTGTAGTCTACACCCAGCTACTTTCCCTGGTGGAGGAACATCTGTCATAAGACAAGAAAAGTACATCTCAGTATCTTTACATATCACTGCGTATATATTTATAACATTAGGTCAGTTATTGACAGTCACACTTACGGTCAGACTGTGGTGTTGCTGGAGTGTTCTTTCCTTCCTCACAGCACGGGTCAGGAGAGGGATCTGTTTCTTCATGATGTTCCTTGGTAATTGAGAACATTACAGTATGTTTGCATTCTATTTTGAACGAGTCATACTATATTAACAATTGTTGGTTAAATAACCTTAAAGAGGTGGATAGAGACATTTCTTTGTATCAGAATACAGCAGGTTGATGAAAATGTTCTTTGCACTGAGATTGGACATTGGCATTATGCATAGGTGATCATTTAATAAAAATCAGAATGGGTGCTGTCATGATCAATCATATTACTTAGAACCACATATCCTGTGACGCTCACAGGGGAGGGCAGGAAAATGTATAAATACTTATGCTTCCCCGCGCGGGAGGGGTCAGCTATTCTAACCTTAATTTACAACCTGGTCTCACCAGAATGCGTGACTCCACCACGACTCCTTAACACCGCAGTGCGTGGTGGAGTCACGAACTTTGCTACATTTACGTGTCTGCACCACGCAAACAACCCCAATGTAAAGTGAATGAGGCTCCTTTGTCGTGGTGCACACACGCATTTCTACAACGTCCCGCAGTGAGCTTTTATTCTATAAAACGTTTTTAAAATCTACTTTATTGCTTGTAGTCACTCACGGGAGGCTTCTTTTATTTTATTTGTATTCATAATCATTTTTATTTTTCGTCAGAATGTATTATGGTGCATTAGTTACGAATTTTTGTTCTCAAAAAACAGTGCGTTGTGTGTAATACAACTGTGATTTTTATTAAATGAGTTAGTTTTTAAGGAAGGCCAGAGCTTCAGCTGTGTCAAATAGATTGTTCCCTTTAGTTAACGTTATTTAAAAGATAATTATATTCCTATTTGATCATGTCCCCTTTATTGTATTACGGACACAGAGAGCAATGTGAGCCTCCATTCCCATTGGATAACGGAGGATTTTACACCCGGAAGTAAGTATTCTCCTTCCTGTCGATTGATTTTACAGTGATATCTGCACTACTCATCAACTCAAAAACACCAGAGTATCCTTGTTAATTACACAACATTGATTGGTTTAAATTGTGTGCAATGCTTTTGTAATTTTCCCCTTCGATTCGGAGAAACAAATATGTGTTCAGAGTTTAGGATGGCCGAAGACACTACACTACCCAGAATCCTCAGCTATTGTTCTGCTTTGCCTCAAGCTCTGTGATTGGTTGACCTCCAACTGCATTCCATATGGAAAAAAAAACGTTTCGTAAAAGATAAAATCATACTTTATTCAGCAGTGCTTGCTTTACTCTTTGAAAGTCATCACATGAATGCATTGTAATGAATGGTTTGGCTGCATTAAACATTACACATCTGTCGTAGTTCTTTATTTATCTACAGAGATCGGGCTCAGAATAGACCGGAAACTATTCTTTTACCGTTCGGTTTTAATTTCACAATAAAGTTAGTAGTAATAATTTGTTTTGATATTATTGTTTTTTATTAACTACTAGACCGCTGGGTCATGTTAAGACCTTCTTTTCTGTCTTGCTGTGGGTTTTTTACATCGCTTTTGTGTTACAAATATCAAAACAATAACAGAATATATCCGTCGTAAACTAAACCAGAAACAGCAGTATATTTTATTTTGTTAACACTGTAAACTTGACAGCTTTTTAACCCGCACCTCCTACTGGTTAAAGCACGTTATTACACGTTTAGAGTAATTGTAATGCAGGTAGATTGTGTTGCTTTTTAATGACTGTTTTAAAATGCCTTTTTCTTCACTTATTTTAACTGATATTATACATATTAATTATACTCTTATAAGATGTATGTAGATAGTATAAGAAAGGTGCAGAATATGTTTAATGGTGGAGGTACACAGGTATCGATAGATGTCTTGTAATACACTGTTGAGGAACCTGTGACCCAAGTTTTTCATTCATTGCATAACTACACCGTAGTTGTGTATATGATATGTCAATAAACCTTAGAAAATCTTGAAATCTTGAAAGGGATGTGCAAAATAGCCATTATATACAGTTTTTAATGAACTATTAGTAGAGAATAACGAGTAATGAATATGCTTTATAGGGATCTGCAGATAAATATTTAATCTTCTCAAGCACCCACTACCAAATATCTCGCCTGATTGTTGGCTGAATTCACTGAATTTTACTCAGGTGTAACTAAAGTCTGATTTAAGGGTTGTTTATATTTCACATCATTAATCCAAATCTGTAAAGTAACTCAAATAAATGTAGTGGAGTAAAAATACCAGGTTAACCTTAAAGAATGCCCTCAGGATTATAAAAGACCCCCATCACCCCAGCCACAAACTGTTCTGTCTGCTGCCGTCTGGCAGGCGGTACCGCAGAACTAACTAACTAAAACCACCAGACTCAGGGATAGCTTCATCCCACAGGCCATAAGACTATTAAACACCTGAACTTTGAAACAACATCCATAACATTCATCTGGCTGCTACTTAGAAATTATTTATCTAATATATCATATTCCAATCACTTGTATATAGACTCTTATTGCACTATTTCACTTTTTACTATTTGACTATTTTTCTTTTTGTATTTACTTGCACTATTTTGTCTGTGTATCTGTTTTATTGTGTTGCACTCATAGACTGTATATATAAATGGACGTAGGGTTGCACTGTTGGAGGAGCCTGTGACCTAAGGAGGGGGGGGGGGGGGGGGGGGGGGGGGGGGGGGGGTAGGACACGTTCTAAGCACATGGTGTAGTCCCATAGCTGAGGATTCTGGGTAGTGTAGTGTCTTCTGCCATCCACACACGACGAACAAATATTTGTTTCTCCGAATCGAAATGGGAAAATACAAAAGCATTGCACACAATTTAAACCAATCAATGTTGTGTAATTAACAAGGATGATCTGGTGTTTTTGAGTTGATGAGCAGTGCAGATATCACTGTAAATAAAATCAATCGACAGGAAGGAGAATACTTACTTCCGGGTGTAAAATCCTCCGTTATCTAATGGGAATGGACGCTCACATTGCTCTCCGTAATACAATAAAGAGGACTTGATCAAATAGGAATATAATTATCTTTTAAATAACGTTAACTAAAGGGAACAATCTATTTGACACAGCTGAAGCTCTGGCCTTCCTTAAAAACTAACTCATTTAATAAAAATCACAGTTGTATTACACACAATGCACTGTTTTTGAGAACAAAAATTGGTGAATAATGCACCATAATACATTCTGACGAAAAATAAAAATTATTATGAATACAAATAAAATAAAAGAAGCTTCCCGTGAGTTACTACAAGCTATAAAGTAGATTTTAAAAACGTTTTATAGAATAAAAGCTCAATGTTGGACGTTGTAGAAATGCGTGTGTGCACCACGACAAAGGAGCCTCATTCACTTTACATTGGGGTTGTTTGCGTGGTGCAGACACGTAAATGTAGCAAAGTTCGTGACTCCACCACGCACTGCGGTGTTAAGGAGTCGTGGTGGAGTCACGCATTCTGGTGAGACCAGGTTGTTAATTTAACTATTACGCATTTCATTATACTTTTTACCTGTGCTGAAAGAAGTACTCAGTAAATATTAATACAAAAGTGTATATTTACCAGTAAGTAAAATAGTGTACAATAGTGTGTACCAGAACACTGTAGCTCTTCACTTTATATAAAAGTACCTCTCAGTATCTCCACAGCAGGTATATATTTATTATATTAAATCAGTTATTAACAGTCACACTTACGTTCGGACTCTGGTGCTGCTGGAGTGTTCTTTCCTTCCTCACAGCACGGGTCAGGGAAGGAATCTGATACTCCATAATGTTCCTAGGTAATTAGGAAGAATATGTTGAATTTTTGAATTCTAATCAATACATGAATCATGCCATATTCACAATACTTAAATATATGACAATATTTCTCTTGTAATTCTATTGTAATTTAATTATTTACCTCCACATCAGGGTTATCCATTGCAGAAACACTCTCAGCCATCCCACAAGATTCTTCAAACAGCGTCTCACTGAAAGTGTTAGAAAAGAACTGTGTTACAACATCTAATCTAATGTAGATTCTACACCAGGCACATGGAGAGGATGAGAGGGGACGGGGCTCAAATGCACAAAAGGGCACATAAGGAAGTCCCTCCCTTTCCGGTGGACCTCCATGGGACCTTCTTTAGGAAAAATGATGTATTGAAGTCAATAGATGAGAGTAACACCTACGTCACTTCCGGGCGAAAATGACGGCCCGGCCCACTTTTGGGGGAAAACAACGCTGTCATTTGAATGGCGGTCAATACAAATTCTGAAGTTTTTGCCAATCCGATCAGAGATGTATTAAAACCGTGGATTTTTGGATCTTCAAAGAGCCCGATTACGATGGCCAGTCAGGCAAACAATTACATTAAATCATTTGAAATCGACGATCGGGCTCGATATATGGTTAAATTCAAATCAGTAGGCGAGGCCGTAATTTCGCCAGCTGTTACTTTCATGAGCGAGGCGGAAAATAATTGTTTTATCATGCCAAAAAGCTGCTGTGTCGTTTATTGCACCTCAAACATGAAAACAAATCCAGAGTTACGTTTTTCTGTACTTCCTCTAAGAAAAAAGGACAGTAAAAGAAGAGCTCCGTGGCTTCAGGCTTGATCGCCATTCAAATGACAGTGTTGTTTCCCCCAAAAGTGGGCGGGGCCGTAATTTTCGCCCTGAAGTGACGTAGATGTTACTCTCATCTAAGGACATCGATCGCCTACTGCAATAGTTAACCATATATCGAGCCCTATCTTTATTCTGAACATGAGTGCTGGGCTCTGAGGGGAAAAACAGAAAGCTTTCAGTAAAACTTAAAAAAGTAATGTTCCACCAATGTTTGTCAGCATTTTAAAGCATTTTAAAGTTTTAAAGTTTGACTGACAAGGAAAGGCAAAAAAATATATAGCCATATATAATTATCCAAAAGATCCAGAAACAGGTGTGATTGATTACATTTTCAGATTTACCTGTGAAGACAGATATCGAGATTGCTTCGCTTTGATTTCCATTGTCTGCAATCTTTGTGAATCTGATGGTAGGCTACACTCAGTCCTATGAATCAGTGCCAGTGACAGTTTCGGCGTTATCAACAGTCAAACTGCGGCTGTTTGTTTCACAGGAGTAATCTAACTGTAGTCTACACCCAGGAATCTTTACATATCACGCGTATATATTTATAACATTAGGTCAGTTATTGACAGTCACACTTACGGTCAGACTGTGGTGCTGCTGGAGTGTTCTTTCCTTCCTCACAGCACGGGTCAGGAGAGGGATCTGTTTCTTCATGATGTTCCTTGGTAAGTGAGAACATTACAGTATGTTTACATTCTGTTTATTATGTATATTAACAATAGCTTATGTGACATGTATTTGTAAATGTATTGTCATTTAACGGTTTACCTCCTTATCAGTGTACTCCATTTTTGATACACCCTCAGCAATCCCACACCGTTCAGATTATCCAAACAGTTTACCACTGAAAGTAATAGGAAATAACCAGAGGTGTAAGAAGTAGATCTTTTACTTAAGTAAAAGTACCATTACTACAATGTAAAAATCCTCTGTAACAAGTAAAAGTCCTTTATTCAAAATGTTACCCTAGTAAAATTACAAAAGACATCAAAAGATACTTCAAGTACAATACGTGAAAGTATACTCATTGTGCAGTAAGGCCCATTTTCATATTTAAAAATAATTGTATTATAATTAGTAATAATGAATGTATTAATGTCAATTAATGTCAATGTTGCACTTGGTAGAGGTTGGGTTCATTTTGTATATCTTGATATATACTGCTGGGTGCCTATCATATAATAATACATGATGGTTTATTAGTTTATTTTGTATTCTGTATTATTATTCAACGTCTGCAGAGCAGCTATCTAAAACTGTGAAATACATATTGTTGAGTAAAAAGTTACAAATTGCCTCCAAAATTAAGTGAAGTAAAGTATATAGTAGCACAAAGTGAAATACTCAAGTGAAGTACAGGTACCTCATATACATACTCAAGTACAGTACTTGAAAACCATTCAACACAACACCTGAACACCACAGATCAAACAGCCATGTGAACTCTGCAGCCTGATAGATTACTGAAACTGATGAGTTATGCTTCTGTTTGAGACCATGTGAAGCCATCATTTAAAAAGTATTTCAATGAAAGACAAAGAAATGCTTTCCTACCTTTTGTAGATGAACCATGGTAACACGTAAATCTGTTCTTGTATCCAGAGCTTTCATCTGCAGTGTATAGTAGTATAAAGCTCTGCAAGTACACAGCCCTGCCCTTCTCTGCCAATGCAAGTGCCTATGAGAGGTGTCTCCTTTTATACTGCCTTGGGAAGCCACTTTGCATTTTATTTCCTTGAAAAAGAAACGTATTGTTTGGTATCCTCCCTTTCTGAATAATTATTTTCAGTCAACCCGCTCTAGGTCATGATTGTGAAAACAGCTTCTCTCTGAAAACAACAAGAGAGCTTTAATCTCAAGATTCAAAATTCAAAGGTTTATTGTCATAACATCATAACAAACTACGGTGTAATTATGTAATGTATGAAAAACTTAGATCACAAGTTCCTCAACAGTGCAATTTTTAAGATATACCATTTTTTTTAATAAAAAACAACAATCAAAAATAAATATAGTGCAAGCTCAGGTGTAAAATAGTCTTTTGGCCTGTGGGATGAAACTGTCCCTGAGTCTGGTGGTTTTAGTCCGGATGCTGCGGTACCGCCTGCCTGCCAGACGGCAGCAGACAGAACAGTTTGTTGCTGGGGTGATGGGGGTCTTTGATACTCCTGTGGCCTTTTTTGACTCTTATAGACTGTACTGCTATTCATATTCCAATAAGATAAAATACCGTGTGTCTTAGTACTAGTCTGCTTTCGTTTTTGTTGTGTGCAGACTTTATTGTTGGGTATATCTTACAAAGCCAAACAGCGCCCCTGTAGCAAACGCCTTTCAGCCATTATCAGGTATCTGTTATGAGGAACTGACAGCAGTATTAAAATGGGTTTCTGAGAATGATTCCGTTAACAAATACATATTAACATCAGATGTTCAACAGAGCAAGGAAATTGTTGTCTCCTTCATTACAAAACAATTGGCTTGCACAACACCATCTTACCTAGTTTTTTTAAGTGTGCAAATGAAACAATTTAATAGCAATGTCATTTTCTGTAAAGGTCTTGAAAGAAGTGGAAAGAAACTCTATTTTGCATCTGAAAAAAGCAAGTTAATGAACATGATCCTAATTCTGTGACATGGCATTATTAACAGGTGAACATTTAAGGAAACTAAAAAGGGTGTTGTCACGAGCATATTATGCTTTGAGGAGATTTTGCATAAATTAAACATAAGGGGATTTCCAACCTCAGATTAAATAGCATTTATTTCCTGTTGAAACCTGATGTAACCAGTTCTCAGGAACGTTATTCAGAACCACATACTATGTGAAACAACAGGAGAGGGGTGAACACTTTTTAAATGTGCTTTTGACACATTTGAAGTCCCTTCTTTTATGCTACTCCGTTGCACGAGCACAATTACGCAATTTCGTTATTCTTGGTACCTTGGAACCATTGTAAAAAAGGAATTGGCATTGATAAAGACCAATACATGCTAGAATCCTTTCTTATAACCTTCTCCTCCTCCTTTCTACCCAACTGACTAAGTAACTAACACTCTTACAACAGGATATTTTCTACCAGAGAGGGTGCTTAACCTACTCCTGGGCCTCTCATAACAGTTGAGGGTGAGATACTAGAGCAACCCCTACTAGTGTACTTAGTGTGGGCTGATGTGAACTGGTTCCCCTGTGGGAGCTACGTTACTCTGCAGGCCAGTTCATTCCCTAATTCTTGTGATGGTGCCACGACTAAATATCTAGGCCTAATAAAGGATATCGGTATTCACCTTGGTGGAAGGACAAATCGACAAAGGCTTTCGTGACTCACTTACTTTTCCTTCCTGTGCTTACCATGTGTATTTGCTGAGACTGTTCCTTACATCAAATCAGAAGACTTGTCTCAGCTTCACTTGCTTCCTTCTGTTCCTGGAAGCAAAGCCAGTTCACCATAGTTTGGAGCTTTTGAAGTGCCAACCATGATACAGATAGGGAATGGATGGTGAAGCAGGGTCAGCAGAACCATTCAGATAGAATGGGTCGGATTACTTGTGTTTTTTGGAAGGGGCCTGCCCTCCAATCAGGATTCAGAGTGCTTCATTCTGTACATTGACCTACTGCTATCAATGCACTTTGAATACAGATTATTTTGTTTGTCTAATTTAAGACCATAAATTAATGTAGCGAATATGGTCTTCTAGTCTAAGCGAGTCTGGTTATGAATGAAAGGCAGTCATTGATGTACAGTATGGAGGGGTAAGGTTATGTAAGGTTCTATTATTTATAAAATCTGGAATAATATCTTGCACTACAGTCAAGTAGGTGTTAGCTCAGAAAGAGAAACTCTATTTTGCATCTGAAAAAAGCAAGTTAATGAACATGATCCTAATTCTGTGACATGGCATTATTAACAGGTGAACATTTAAGGAAACTAAAAAGGGTGTTGCCATGATAATAACTTGCTTACTCACGACCATATTATGCTTTGAGGAGATTTTGCATAAATTAAAATTAAGGGGATTTCCAACCTCAGATTAAATAGCATTTATTTCCTGTTGAAACCTGATGTAACCAGTTCTCAGGAACGTTATTCAGAACCACATACTATGTGAAACAACAGGAGAGGGGTGAACACTTTTTAAATGTGCTTTTGACACATTTGAAGTCCCTTCTTTTATGCTACTCCGTTGCACGAGCACAATTACGCAATTTCGTTATTCTTGGTACCTTGGAACCGTTGTAAAAAAGGAATTGGCATTGATAAAGACCAATACATGCGAGAATCCTTTCTTATAACCTTCTCCTCCTCCTTTCTACCCAACTGACTAAGTAACTAACACTCTTACAACAAGATATTTTCTACCAGAGAGGGTGCTTAACCTACTCCTGGGCCTCTCATAACAGTTGAGGGTGAGATACTAGAGCAACCCCTACTAGTGTACTTAGTGTGGGCTGATGTGAACTGGTTCCCCTGTGGGAGCTACGTTACTCTGCAGGCCAGTTAATTCCTTAATTCTTGTGATGGTGCCACGACTAAATATCTAGGCCTAATAAAGGATATCGGTATTCACCTTGGTGGAAGGACAAATCGACAAAGGCTTTCGTGACTCACTTACTTTTCCTTCCTGTGCTTGCCATGTGTATTTGCTGAGACTGTTCCTTACATCAAATCAGAAGACTTGTCTCAGCTTCACTTGCTTCCTTCTGTTCCTGGAAGCAAAGCCAGTTCACCATAGTTTGGAGCTTTTGAAGTGCCAACCATGGTACAGATAGGGAATGGATGGTGAAGCAGGGTTAGCAGAACCATTCAGATAGAATGGGTCAGATTACTTGTGTTTTTTGGAAGGGGCCTGCCCTCCAATCAGGATTCACAGTGCTTCATTCTGTACATTGACCTACTGCTATCAATGCACTTTGAACAGATGATTTTGTTTGTCTAATTTAAGACCATAAATTAATGTAGCAAATATGGTCTTCTAGTCTAAGCGAGTCTGCATGAATGAAAGGCAGTCATTGATGTACAGTATCGAGGGGTAAGGTTATGTGAAGTCTTGTCAATCATTAAAAGCACTTTAAAATCAATTCTGTAAGACACCGGTAACCAGTACAGTGATGCCAGCAGAGGGGAAATGTGATCTCTGTTTTGTTTGTTATATCCTGACTGCAGCATTCGGAATTAATTGCAATTATTTAAAAGATGTTTTAAGAGGGACAAGTAAAAAGAGAATTGCTATAGTCCAAGCCGCTAGAAATCAAAGCATGTAAAACCATTTCAGCAGCATTCTGAGTGGCAACTGCTCTAATCCTGGCAATGTTTCTCAGTTGGAAACATTTAGTTTTTGCAACCTTGTTAAAATGGATTAAAAAATGAAGATCACAGTCTAAAATGACTGAAGTGGGGTTTGACTGCAGCCAGCCACCAGCGCTTCATTCTTTACCTTAACCTACTGCTACCGAGGCACTGTGAATACAGCATTTGTTGTCCGTCTAACTTAAGAACATAAGTTAATGTAGTCACTTCAATCTTACATTTTCACAGAGAACTCTGGGCCAGTAAACAACCTGCCGAGACTCAAGGAGGACACTAATCGGCAACCAGAGATGGGGTCGTTACTAAAAAAAAGTAATATATTACATATTACATATTACTTTTTTAAAAAGTAATA